AATCAAGTTGCTACATATATAATTATGGTGCAATGCCCAAATTGAATGGATATCTCCTATTGTAACACTGGGGTTAAATATTAATGGAACCAATAAAATACAAATTGTGGGCCATAAAACAAAATCAGACATGGAAAACTGTTGAACTTGAGGCTTGTATGGAGGAACGTGGAATTGGATATGCTTGCAATAATGATGCAATCATTATAAATAAAGAGAGAGGAAAATGCCATTATCAGTTAGATCCTTTTCCATTTAATGGATCAATTGCTGTATACATCAAAAGAAAATGTGTATGTATCAGAAGTTGGTGTATATTGTTTAAAGTAAATCATATATACAATATAACTCATAATCCTTATGAGAACAAATGCTTGTGTAACATTACCTCAGTTATTGGTTGCAATTTCAAGATCACATTACCCAAAATTGAAAATGAAAAATTAAAGATCAATTCCAGCTATATGAAAGAATTGAATCGATACCTTTAGGATTAAATATGAGCTTAGTTTAAGCAATTGATAAGCCACCCTGAATTGCAAAAATAATTACAAAAAGCTCAAGAAAATGCACAAAGAGTTATGATTACTGTTCACCACTCCACTAAGAAATGAAAACAAATAATTGAATATCTAAGAAGTGCTAAACACAACTGGTGGGAAGTGTTTTTGGGATGGTCTCCCACAACTACAGGATTTTTTAAAATAATCCCACACCCTATTGTGATAATATTGGCATTTCAAATTATAATGGTTATTATGCTCATTATTTTGGTGGGCTGGATCAAATGGAATTTCAGGCAGCTAAAGCATATGCAGACCCTCAGTCTTAAAAGAAATTACTATGGCACACAGGCGAGTGTGACCAAAGTGAGAATCAAGAGTGGTGAGGAATCGTGCCAATACGAAGACATGTCAGCTCGGTTTCCTACAAAGGAAACCCTTGAGCCAACACTGGACAAGACCACACACTTATTGGACTCACAAAATTATGAAATGCTGGATTTATAAAGAAGTTTGCAAACCCAGCAAGGAGGGGACTGTAACGAGAGATTTTGCTTTGAATGTTCTGAGATATCTTGCAGCACCTTAACAGAGGATTGCAGAAAAACCTCAGAGGGGGTTTAAAAATACCATAAAATTCACTTCTCCCAGTTGACATAATTAGGATGGTGACAGTATCAGGACACTTTGATTAGCATAAAATGATAATTACTTTTAAGATTAAGACTCTAAATAAGTAGAAATTAATGATAGTTTAAAAATAGAAAATCCAACATGGCAGATCAAAATCATAGAATCATAGGACTGGAAGTGATCTCAAGAGGTCATCTAGTCCAGTCCTCTGCACTCGTGGCAGGACTAAGTATTATCTAGACCATCCCTGACAGGTGTTTGTCAAACCTGCTCTTTAAAAACTCCAATGATGGAGATTCCACAACCTCCGTAGGCAATTTATTCCAGTGCTTAACCACCCTGACAGTCAGGAAGTTTTTCCTAATGTCCAAACTAAACCTCCCTTACTGCAATTTAAGTCCATTGCTTCTTGTCCTATTCTGGACTTTCTCCAATTTGTCCACATCTTTCCTGAAATGTAGCACCCAGAACTGGCACAATACTCCAGTTGAGGCTTAATCAGCACAGAGTAGAGCAGAAGAATTACTTCTCATGTCTTGCTTACACTACTCTTGCTAATACATCCCAGAATGATGTTCACTTTTTTTGCAAAAGTGTTACACTATGGATTCATATTTAGCTTGTGGTCCACTATGACTTCCAGATCCCTTTCTGCAGTACTCCTTCCTAGGCAGTCATTTA